TATTCGCGTATACCCTCGGTATACCCACTTGTTTTGTTACTTCGCAAGTCCGTAATCTACTGTCATGTAGCGTCCACTTTAATGGTGTCCCAGGTGTCCCATACTGCTGTGTGAAATTCGTGATTCTTTGTAATTGGTGCAATATCACTTCTGTCATTCAAAGCTTGGTGTTTTGAGCCGCACTGAGCTTAGTTCTCGTGCTGCAACAGTGGATACACGCCGTAAGGAAATATGGTAGTGAGTGCACGGATTTGAGTGGAGGCATTCTCTCGTTAGTAGCCTATCGAAAAAGGAAGCCCAATATGATAGTGCGGCCACGACGTGAAACAATTACTTTCGAATATTTTTACTAACACCCCGACCCGAGCCTCCGTTACATAAAATATAGATCTAACAGAGGAATGAGCCGTATGCAGTTACTGAAGAGAGAGCAGAAGAGAGCGCGTGAATATGAATTACTCGCATATGACCGGCTTTCCCAACTATTTTATTGATAAAGTCTTTGTGTGTGTTAGAGAGAGAACACGCTGTCCAACAATTAATGCCACGGATCCCCAAATATAATCCCTTAGTCACTATAGTTTTGTCTGCTAACTTAGCTGAGTATTAAACTGCTAGCAACTGTTAGGCTATCAGGAGCACCCCATTATTATCATGTCAGAATACTTTATGCTAAAGGACATCATACTGTAAAGTTACATTAATACATTTAGCAGACAGATATTCGCATGGATTTATAGTTTAGGTAAGGAGGGAGAGCAGACAGCAAAACAAAAATATGAGTCAATTCAATAGTGTGTTCAGTAGGCTATTAGGATTTTTCAATGAAGGTATTGCACTAATTTTTATAAATAGGCACTTAAACACAATTTTTTTTTTAAAATATATATGTATTAAAAATAGGTTTGTTCCATCTTTGGTATTTAAGTCATTTTAAGATAAATAACATTCTGTGCAAACAAATTAAAATGAGGTGGTTGATTTGCAACTGACACAGTTCTGGGGGGGGGGGGGTAATAGGGTAATATTACTGGGTAATAGTAAACCACTTTTTTCTTTAGGACTACACCACTGATGTCTATATCTATAACCGTATAGTTGACTTTTTAGGCAACAACATCAAACTTTTGCGTTAACATTATGTATATGTATATGGTAAAGTGTATATTTGTAACTAGGTGCTATTTTAATCACATCTTACTTTTGTGAAATTCACACAAAAAGTCCTTTTAGTTCAAATAATCCATGTAGTCTCAATTATATATGAGATTATAAAATTATAGGCCTACATATGTATGTTAACAAACATTTATTATTAAAAATTACAAATATTTTTAAATAGCACTATTCCCTAATTAAGTCACACTAAACGGAAGTAAACAGATTTTTGATAAATTTGTAGCCATAGCTAAAGAAATTGTGATTTTTACTTAAGTCGGCCTACCCGTTTTATCACAGCATTCATGTAATGCAGAGACAGGATGATAAAACTTATTCTGACATTTGAACTATCTAGCAGATCTGTTTTCTGAAAGATTGATGGGTCATATTGAGTCAACATTTGCACCTGCTTGTTTAAAGGGATAGTTCACCCAAGAATGAACATTTGATGTTTATCTGCTTACCCCCAGGGCATCCAAGATTACCATTGCCATGCATTATACGACTGATAGACTGCAACGGTTGGAGTTAAAAATCATCAAATGTGTTCTACTGAAGAAACTAAATCACCTACATCTTGGATGCCCTGGGGGTAAGCAGATAAACATCAAATTTAAATTTTTGGGTGAACTATCCCTTTAAGTGCAGTTTAGTGAATGAGTGCGCTCTATTTATTTTTGAATAGCGTGAAATATATTTTGATCAGGAATTCTTGAATAAATTAGTTCACAATATCCAAAGTGTATACATGTAAGTAAATAATCAATTAGATGGGCACCAAAGTCATTTGGACTGACAGAATTTTCCTTAAATGTAGAGCGTTTGAAAATCATTTAGTAATTAGTATTATTGATTTCATAGCCACAAAATTTAGATTAGTTTAGCGCAGTAAATAGACGTTCGCGAACCATTGAAACAGAAGGCTGCTCGAGTGCTTTCTGTGAAATGTAACTTTAGGCCTAAGTAGCTACTATCATATTTATATATTTCTATATCGCAAGTGTATAACAAAAAAGGGATTTTGTTTATCAAAAGAGGGGAACTACGGTTGGACAAGGCTCGAGATTGAAACCCCCTCCTCCCCCTTGAATGTCACTGAACGATTTTGCGAGGATGTAGCGCAATGGGTTCACCTTTAGCTATGTGAAAATTTGTAGATTTAATACTTGCCTCCGGTGATTCATCACCATTGTGACACTGAACAAGACAATATCCTCATACTCGATAAAGATTAATATATGAAAAATACTAATCACATCCATTGACTGTCTAATCCATTGTAAAGTTAAAGTAAACTTGTGTTCAGAGTAGGCTACTTCTGCTGCGAATGGAATATCATCAGATCTATTTACGATACCGTAGGTCAGGTGGATGAGTGCTCGCGCGCAGGTGCGCTCCGTCCTCCTGATGCCGCAGGTACTCTCAGGTACATCATCCTCTGACTGCACAGAAGATGGACGTTTATCCTTCACTACACTGGGACAAATCACACTAGTTTGCTAATCGTACCTCAGATATTTTAACTTGACAAATTCTATGAGAATCTTTATCTGAAGGAGAATTTCAATCCATCCTAAAATGAAACTCGTCATTTCATGATCGATGAAGGACGCCCGTCGCTCTGAGATGAACGAACAGCGGGACATTCAACTGTTTTCACTCTGTGCACTTTTCATTTTCAAGCTATTTGTTCTGCAAGGTAAGTATAATTTTAATTTTGAACCATTTTTGCAAATTATTAATGTACCCGCTGCAGTTGGCCCGTATAAAACTGTAATGTAGTAACCATAGTTTTCCTCAAATACCATATTTATTCCTATGCTGCAGTAAAATTGTGCAAATATTGTGTTAACAAAAAGATTCTGAACGCTTCATACGCTTATTAAAGGATTGCCAAAGCAACATTTCTCATTTTCATTTAGTTTAACTTGATGTTCTTAAATAACTAATATTGGTATATTGGTAATAACTATATAATATAAAAAAATTATCTAGACATTTTTGTAATCAACTAATAAAAATAACAAAAACACAACAAAATTGCTAATTGAAAAAAAAAATTAGAATGAAAACATAAAATACAAAAATGAAAAAAAAAAAGATTTTGTTAAGTCTGCATGAGCAAAGAAATAAAAAGGAACAAGAATCTGTTTCTAGGCCAAAGGGTTCAAAAGAAAAGGTTCAATTCAAGCAGTTGCAGGCTTTCGAAGCATTGAGTAGGAGACCCCAAATTTGGCCAGTGAACTATTCGAAACCAATACGGTTCCCTTTCATGGCAACTTCGAACGTATCTGGTGGCTACGGTGACCTCGGAATAAAAAAGAAACAGACTAATATTAGCGTAGATGCCATTCCATGTATGCTAAGTGAAATCTGTACAGCTAGACTATTACATCACATCACACACACACACACACACACACACACACACACACACACACAAATACTGAGATACACTCTCTGTGATGACAAAGCTGTCTTTGTGGAGTTTACACAAATGCTACAGCCTCTGAAAGCTCCACTCCCAAATGTGTGCAGTCAGTGGCAAAACCATGTGAAGGTGCGCCAAGACAGGTTCACCAACATGGCTTAGTGGCTAGACATGGTACTGTTGCCACTATAACCCATAACACCAATGGACTTGGCAAATTTTTAGTACTATTTTTATTTCCTCTGCAGACCCTTAGCACAGTGCTGTCTGATTCAACTCTCCCACGAAGAGTTCTTCATAATTATACAGCGAGAGATGCATCAACAGGTATTGTATACTGTGCACTCACGATTTGCAGTGGTATATACAGTCTCACTTGAGTTTGCATGCTAGAAACATCAATTATGAAGTTATACTTCAATAAAACAATGTTTTTTGAAGTTACACCACTGTCAGCTTCATGGTGAATTAAGCTTTGTGTGGTTTGGTCATCTAAAGCCAAATCTGGTATATTCATTTTTACCAATAATGAATACAATTTATATAAGGATTATGCAGGGTTATTATAGTTAACTAAAACCATATGTTAGTTTAATTAAATGCTTAAATAAAAATAAAAACTCTGAAAGAGAAAAAAAAAATTAGAATGAAAACATAAAATACAAAAATGAAAAAAAAAAAATATTTTGTTAAGTCTGCATGAGCAAAGAAATAAAAAGGAACAAGAATCTGTTTCTAGGCCAAAGGGTTCAAAAGAAAAGGTTCAATTCAAGCAGTTGCAGGCTTTCGAAGCATTGAGTAGGAGACCCCAAATTTGGCCAGTGAACTATTCGAAACCAATACGGTTCCCTTTCATGGCAACTTCGAACTGCGTCCTCTAGGGGTCGCTATGGGGAACGCCGCGTCGTGACCCGTGTCTGAAGCATACATTGAAAAAACACCAACTTGCTGGCCGGCGACAGCCATGACGTCACTACCGGTGCGACTATAGTATAAATAGGCGCCGGGAGCACACATCATTCA